ACAGATTCAATTGCTACGGTTTCCAATACCGGCAAGCAGCCGCAACAGTGATATAAGCCAGAGTTGGGGCGGTTTAGCAAGAAATGATTGGGACAAAACCTACCGTGTGGTTCATTAGCATAAAGTTGATGTCGTCCAGGCGAAGGAGTTTGCGCATTGCACTGTAGCTAGAGGCCAGCTCACCGAAAAGGGACAATGTGGGCTGAAGGACGATGTCCTGGGCACTCCAGTAGCGCAGATTGGAAAGAATTTTGGCCGTGAACACTCGCAGCATCATAATCTCGTCAGAGATGCCCACCGAGTTGGCGAGAGACTGGTAAATCTGCATAAAGTGGGAAGTGTGTGTGTGCGTGAGAGTGTGACGAAAAGAGGAGGAAGGAGGGGTCAACGGAAATTGGTGAAATTAATCAACGGTCAACGGTTTGCAAAACAAAAGCAAGCGTGCTTGGCGTTCGCATTCTTTAATGCGAATTTCGCCTAGTCGCATTAACAAAATTGAGGGGGATTTAACATGACCAATGTGAAAATTTCAGAGTGGTCGTGGAAAGCGGAACATGCAGCCAAAAGTAGAACACCTTTAGAACGAGGAGACCAAAGACTGGTTGCGAATCTAGGAAGTCTACATTGCATTTTCAAAAAACCAGTTTTGGATCCTTCGCTGTCAGCGGACAGAATGGGATATTACTCTCGCGGCCATTGTACATGCCTTCATTACACCGAAAGTTATTTCGGGCTAAACCGACGTTTCCATAACGGCTAATGTCAAATTCACAGTAATTCACCTTTAACTGTAATTTTAAGCCCTTTGTTAATACGGGAGAAAAAAAATTCCAGGAAGAAGAAGATGGTCGGCAACTACCACCTATTAATTCATCAACAAATGCCGCCTACCTGTTTGACTTCCGTATCTTAATATATCAAGGCGTAACTGTAAAAAAACGAAATGTACGCGGGTTTAAAATTAGAGACTATTTTCAAAAAACGAGTTTCAAGGCTAGAAAGCTAACTCTTGGTAAAACAATAATAATCTCAATGAAAGCTCAAAGCCGAACAGGGGAACAAAATATGGGCTGACACACCCTCACACAGAGGCTGGTCTGTACAATTCGTTTGTTGCGACCGACAGGAAGCTAAACGTACAAAGGTGGCGGTTAGAGTGAAGTGGGGCTG